CGAATATTTCTTTATTTGTTTGTTGTTTGTTTTTTTTTTTTTTTGTAGCAGGCAGGCATCTTAGGGTCATCTTCCAGTCTTTCAGTGTTCGAGTCTTCGACACATGTGGCTTTTTTTGTGGATTCTATTGTTAATTTCGTATATGGCATGTGCTTGCATCGTTTCTCATCAATTGTATTGCGTGGCAAATTGTTGTACTCTTTGCCGGCAGTCAGCTCTGTTTTCTTGTTTTTCTTTTAAACTTAAAACATAAATGTTGCTGTTGTTAAATTGTGAACGAAAAATGTGTGAATTGTCAACTAAAAGTTTTGGCTTATTATGCTAATTGGCTATTGTTGTTGTTGTGGTTAATTCATAATCGATCTTTTGTTTTTGTTTTGCTTATTTTCTTCTTCTTTTTTTTTTATAAAAATATAAATAGTTTTATAAAAATTTATTGGTATGTATTTGTTGTTTGTTTGTTTGTTTTTTTTGTTTTGTTTTGTTTTGTTGTTGTTGCATTGTACTATAAATTATCCCGGTACGCGCGGTTGGCACGTTTTGACTATTGCAAATGAAACTGTGGCATAAAATTCGTTTAGACATTTGGTTTAGTCATTGAAAATTCAACTATATAAACACTTATAATATTTATAGATTTGTTATATATGTTATTTGTTATACTGGGTAAATATCATGTTTAAAATTTGAACTTAGGATGGCTTAATAAGTCAACAGAAAAACATGTTACGTTATGGTTGGGTTCATTGTTTTGGTTTTTGATATGTGTAGACAACCCAAAAAAAGTTGCTGTTGGAAGTGCTGTGTGTGTATGTTGTTGTTGTTATTATTATTATTGTTAATATTATAATAATATTTGGTTGTTCTTGTTCGTTTGTATTGTCACATTGAACTGGGCTTGTTACATTGTTTTTTTGCTTTTGTTTTTGTTTTTTATTTTGCTGTATATGCGTTTCAGTAAAAATAAATGAGAGATTAACTCAAAAATATCACATACGAGTTGTGTATGTTTCCCTGGCTATTGTTGGTTGTTAAAACTAAATTGTTGAATACTTAGTTATCGATTTGTTAGTTATTTATTAGTTAATATTATTATGGTAAATGTTATACAACTTTTTTGATATTTTGATTTTTTGCTTCACAAACATGTGCAGCATGTGTGTGTGTGTGTGTGTGTGTGTGTGTGTGTGTGTATGCATTCGTATGTGTATATGTATGTGTATGTGTGTGAGTGTGTGTTGTGTTTTGTGTGTATAATATATATATCAATCGAATTTTGAATTTTATATTTGTTGTTGCTTTTACTCTTTTATATCATAAGCCAAAAGTTTTAACATCTTTTTATAAACTTGAGAACCAAGGATGCTTAAAATTGTTGCTTTATATTTGTTTTATAATTGGAAAAATTTCATTTATTTGAACTAAATCCGTTTGTGTGCAGCACAGTGTGCGCCAAAAGTTATGCACTGGCTGTGCTGCTCTATTGCAGTTGTGAACTGAAAAATCGGCGCATCTATTACGATGCGCTCAAAAATTGGTATTCTCTGATACTCTTCGCCAAATAAGTGATAAAAATGTACATTCTTCTCAAAACTTTTTGTTGTTGTATTTCTTTCTTTGAATAAATATAATTTTTCATATTCGGTCAAAAGTGTTTGAAAATTTTGTGAATCGCGTTTGCTACTAAAAAAACGCAATCATTTTAAGTATTCGTTTTCGCTTGTTTGTTTTTTGTTTTTGGATTTTGATTTTATTTTATTTTTGTTTTATTCCATCTTTTGTTTGTTTGTTTGTATTAACCTAAACTGCAAATTTTTGTGCTCATTTTCATTATATTTTTTTGTGATCAGATGTTTTCCAAAACAAGGATGTTTAACTAACTTACCTAAATAGAAGCAGATATTATTATGATTTAAAATTTCATATTACCTTCATTTGCCAAAATCATTGTGTTATTTGATATACATATATGTCCTGTATTGGATACATTTGTATCTGTAACTTTATGTATGTATCTGTTGGTTTGTTTTGGCACATGTTCTCGAAAGTAAGAAAAAATCTTCATTTGCGCGCATTTTCAATGCAGTAAAGCTCTGTGTATAAGGATTGCCTTTGCCCATGGCTGACTTTTGTTGCTGAGTTGGTTAGTTGGGTGTTTGGAGGCTGACATAGGGAGAAGGGTTTATTATGCTGTTTAGGTTTAGTTTTAGGTTTGTTTTGCTTATGCTTAAACTGTAGTAATATTTAATTACGTGTATGTAGTTGTATTTAAATGTGAGTTTTATGTACAAATTTGACCAATTGTTCTCATTTAAATCTTTTCTTCATTCAGAGTATGCGGTATTCAGTATTCAGTATTTTGTTATTTTGTTATTTTGCTGTAATAATGCTTTAAAATCTAGTTAAAATTGCATATGGCTGCGTCTGCATTTATATTTGTTATTTGGTTTACGTGTAGTATATATTTTGGGTTTTTGCTTTTTAGATTATGTGTAGTTTTTGGTTTTTCATTATGCATTAAGTTTAATTTGCTGTGCTTATGCTCACATTCAGTTAATCAGTAAATGAAATTCTTTCGCCTTAGTTTTCGGTCTGTGTATATGCTGCTTTACAGCACTGTAGCGCTGCCGCGTAGTACGTTTACCAGCACTGCGCGTACAGCTTAACCTTATTATTTTTGGTTTTTTTGTTTATTTGTTTACCTGGTTTACCTTATTCTGGTTGGCTGTTTTGGATGCCGCCGCATATTTGCGATCACTGCATTTTGTAGTTTGTTGTCGGATGTTGCTGGTTTGGATGGCTGGCTGTCTGGTTTGCTTGCTTTGAAGTTTTAGATGCTTATGCTATGTCCTGGCCTCTCCCTTTACTTAGGGTGTAAACTGTACTTTGGCTGTATTTGTACTATGTTTTTGATGGGTTCACAAAAGCAGTTACAATTTTTGTAGCATAAATGATTCAAACTATTCTCTAGGCTATGGCGTTCGATTTCTATATTTTAGAATTTATGTACACCAAAATCTCGTACACAAAAATGCGTGTGTCGGAAAGTAAAACGCAATTTCAGCGCCTTAAAGTTTACTGCCAAAGAGTTGTGGATATAGTTAAATGACTGTCGCTGCTTTTGTGAAGCCCGTTCTTGAGCTGCGATAATAATTTGTTTTATGAAATAGATTTGCTTACCGTTAGTTAGTTGTGCATGTGGTTTAGGTTTGAGTTTGTAGTGTTGTAGTGTTGGTAAAGGCCAATCATTTCCGTTGATATCAAAATTGTTCTCTGATCATTGCCAAAAGTTATAATATAGTTTTTGTAATTAAAATAATGTAACATAAAAAATGTTGACAAAAAAGAAATAATGCCAAAGTTTGAAAGGAATTTTGTAAAGAAAAAGCAATCTTCTTTTTGTTTGTTTGTTTGTTTTTTTTTTCTCAATGAATTTTGTTTATTAACCAATTATTAATATGCCTTTTTTGTTTTGTTTTTGTTCACTTATAGTATAATTATGTATGTAAGTATAAATGTATGAAATATGTACGTATGTATGTCAATTTATATAGTATATGTAGTTGTATGTATGTATTGTATTTGTTGTTCTTCTTATTGGTACGCAAGTATGTTAAATGGGCTGATTTAAATTTTTTAAACATTTCAAATTCTTACTTTATCTCATTGAATATCGTCAATGAAATGAGCTATGACAATCTGTTTTTGATCTTTTTAATGGTGTGTTCTTAGAAAATCTACACAAGTAAATAAATTGACAAACTAATAAAAGAACAGAACTTTAATTTTTGCGAAAAATTTGTTTCAATTTTGAGGGTTCATTGGCGAGTTTTTTGGCTTTTCCGTTTGTTTTGGTTTTCATTTCCATGTTAAAAATGCTGAATTTCGACTTGCTTAATTTATAAAATTTTGCCTAAAGATTTTTTTGTTTAGCCGAAAGTTTTGTAGCTTTTGTTTATTGTTAATATGCCTTAAATTGCCTAAAGGTTTTTATTTAAAAATATTCTTTTAATTTTCGTTTAGATTCATCTCTTTCAATTAACTATTTTTACAATCAATAATTTTGTATGGCGGCTCGTGTGGCCAGTGGGGTTGACCACCGTCCCCACGTAGCCACCATATTGGCATATACCAAAACAATAATGCTGTTTTATGTTTCATTCGTTTTTTTTTTTGTGCATTTTTGTTTTCTGTCTTATCACAAAATCAGTTACAATTGTATTTAAACAAATTTTTTGCCAACTTCAGTGCCAAAAGTGTTTCTTTTAGTATCGTTTCCGCTTAATAAATTTTGTAAAGGCATTAACAATCAACGAGCTTTCAATTTTGAATTTTGTGTTTGCTGCAAGTGTGCGAAATGAAATGAGAACCTTAAGAAAACAATAGAAAAGAAATAAAAATCAAAATAAATATTTACTCTTGCCAATATAAACAAGTTATGTTTGTACGTTTTGTTAATCTAATTATGAGTTTTTCAATTTTCTTTTAATCTTTTTTTTTTTTTTAAGAAATTTTAATTTTAATTTCGATATCAATTAAAATTTACCGAAAGTTTCATTAATTTGTTATTTTTGCATTAGATTAGGAAACTCACCGTTTATACTTTGTTTAATTTTGTGATAATTACGCCGAATTGCATAAAATTTTGTTAAGTTTACCATAGTTCAATGGGTTTAGGCCTAAAAGTTGTTAGTTCGATTCAATTTCGCTTTAGCTAAAATTCGACTATTGTAAAAATTTTGCTTAATCCATTGGGTTGCCAAAAGTTGTTGCATTATGATGTTGAACATATCAGCTAAGTATGTTCTATATAAAGCGGTGTTCTTCCCGACTCTAATCCCTTATTTTCTGCCAATAAAATAGTGCTAGGGGGCGTTAGGGTTGGGGTAGTCGGCTTGTGCCGGCTTATGAGCTCCTCAAAGCACATGATGGGCCGAAATTTGTGTGTTTCGAATGGTTGCCGCAAAGTTGTTGAGGAATATTTCTTTTAATTTTTTCAAGTTCGATATTTTCGCGATGTTTTTATGTGTTTGCATGCTTTGATGAATGTTATTTTGTTGTTGTTGTTGTTGTTGTTATTGTTATTGTTGGTGTGCTGCTATTGGTGTTGTGCAGCACCCGTTTGCCCGCCCCATACGATCAGAGCAGGCAAACATATCCCTCTTAACCCGCCCACTTTCCATGCTTGGTGTGAAATGAAAGTGCATACTGAGGTACACAGCCGGCGGCACATATTCAATATTCAAAACGATAAAATGTGGGATCGATAACATATAAGAAAAGAAACTCAAATGTTTTGATTTTAATGTGGTTTTCTTGTTTTGTGTATATATTTGGTTTTTTATATATTTGTTGCAACTTAAGGCCAAGTAAATTAAACTAAACATAAACTTAAATCGAATGCTATTCAATTAAACGTATATGTACATAAATAACAGACTAGTGTGTGTGTGTGTGTTTGTGTGTATGTGTGTGTGTTGGTTTTAAAAAATTAATATGCGTGCACAATTAGGTGCATTCAAAAATTTTTATTTAAAGATGGGCCATGTTTTAAAATAAAAAATCGCATTCAAATTTAGCTCATTAACAATAAACTTTGGTTGTATTTTTGTTTGCATAACATTAAATAAATTTAACTACCCTAACGCCCGCTGCTAATACAAATTATTATTAATTTTTTTCTTTGTAAATACTACTCGCGAATTATTACGTTTTTCTTGATTAATTTTCTCTTGTTTTTTTGTTATTTTTTTTTTTTGTATTTTTTTTTTTTTTGCTTTTTTATAGACATTGAATTGTGCTTAATGTTAAAAGGAAATAAGCAACCTGAACTTGGTTAATTTGTTTTATGTTCTTGCGACAACATTGCAGGACACTTTTTTAAAGCTTGTGCAACATTGCCGTCTAAAAGATGTTCAGAAAAGTTTGTCTGCAATTGGATCAATTACAGCTCCAGCTGCAAAGAACTTTTCAATCGGCTGGAAAAACACACTTTAAATTTCTGCGAAAACTGTACCGAAGTGTAAAAGTGTGTGTGTATGTGTTTGTTTGTGATTAGATTGTGTCTTTGGAATGTGTGTCAACTTTCGGTAGATTAATAGATTGCTCAACTATGTATGTATTTGTAATATAAACGTATAGTAAAAATATTTTTTAAAAAATTTCAACTAGCATCCCCAACGGTCAGAGTACAGTTTACACTCTGTATAGATACAATTGTAGTGTATGCGTTTATGTGTGTGTGTGTGTGTGTGTGTGTGTGTGTGTAGGTGTGAGTGTGAGAGTGCTGGTGTCTTTACCGGCTCAGGTTTTAAATTTGCACTATATTTCTTGTTTTTTTTCTTTTGATGGAACAACATTTGGTAGATGATCAAAAGCGTTGCATACTTTTCAGCGCTCACGTTTTAGGCTGAGGCATGTTTATATATATTGTGTGTGTATGTGTGTGTAAGTGTGTTTTTATTTGATTTTGCTGTTGCATTAAACCTAATGCGACTTTCGCCTATTATTGTGTATTTTGTTGCTTTTGTTTAGCTCCAGAGAGCGACGACGGCATTTTGCGAAATTTTAAAAAAAATATTTTACGGCTCTACAGAAATATTTTCCGATTGCAATTTGATTTCTTTCTTGTGGTTGTGGTTATTCTATTCATTTTCGACGACAGGCCAAAAGAAAAATCCGGGGAATACCTAAGAAAAGTGTTGCCTCTTTGGTGTGAGTGTGCACATAATACAAATGTTATATATGCATTATATCCAGTTGTATTTCTTACGTAGATTTAACTTTTTAACTTTTGTTTTCGCTTCGCTTTCGGCATTGCTGTTGTTGCAGTTGTTGTTGTGGTAGTCATAGCAGGGTTCGTAGGTTGATTCTGGGGTGGTGGCATCGTTGGCATAGCCAACTCCTCCACTTATTCCAGTTGCTCTAAAAAATTCGGCGACTTGAAGTATTCGGGCACGGGATCGTCCATGCGTGAGATTATTTTGTATATAGATTTCTTCCACGATTGCTCGGTGTCTTTGCCACCCTGTATTGCACGGAAAAATTCACGCAGTGTCTGTTCGACCACAAAGCGAAAATTTTGGGGTACCTGTGGGCGTGGGCGGAGTCGAAGGCGAAGACGATAACATTAGCAAAAAGGTCACGGCAGCGAAAGATCGTTGTGTTAATGTATTGTGTGTGTGTGTGTGTGTGTGTGTGTGGGTGTGTGTGTGTGTATGCGTATGTGAGTGAGTGAGAGAGTATGAGTGTGTGAGTGTGCCATAGTTCATAGCAACACACACACCCTCACACTTATACACCGTACTCCGTTAATGTGTATGTTAATGTTCATTTTGTTAACAGAGGTGTAATTACCTTATTACATAATAAATTGCAATTACTTTGGTAGTTACAAAAAAAATGTTTATGTTCAAAAGTAATTGTAATAGCGAAGTGAATTATTTTTGAAGTTTTAAGTTACTTGTAATTTAAAGTATTTACAGCTCTGCTTGTTAGTGTGTTTTTGTTGCATACCTCAATGTGATTATTGCGATTGTAGTGCAAATTGAGCACGCGATATAATTCACTATCTCCAGCAATCAACAGATCATCGGGTGTCTTGATGCCTTCAGTGACAGCTTGTCGTGCATATTTCTCCATTTGTATGTAGTAGAATTCTCTGCAGATGCGTAGATGAGGAATATGTTTGGATTTGGTCAGTATACTATTTAGCTATGCTTTGATTTGTTTATTTTTATTTTTTGAGATTTTTTTAGTATTTTGGACAGCATTCAAATTTACGAAATAAAGGTAAAACATACAAAAATCATAAAAGAGATACTTATAAAAAAATTAAATAATAAAACACAAATAGTCAAGTAAATGAAATACATATAATTGGAACAAAACTGAACTCGAATTGAAAATCAAAAAGTAGTCACATGCATACACCCCTAAAAAGGAAGTTCCAACTCGCACTCAAAGGGTGCCTGTCTGCCTCTCTGATGCCTCAAAGCCTAACTCAGACTGCCTTTGCTCTCGACTCTATGAGCTTAATGCATTATATTGGATCGACTTTGCAATATGACATTATTAATAAATTTGCAGCATACTCTTAGGCGCGCCACGATTTTCTACCCTAAAAGCCTCGACTTTGTCTCCGTGTCTGTGTATATGTGTGGGAGTGATTTTTGTGCTTCTTTGTTGTAAAGAATTTTTAATAAATCTCAAATGTGCAACGACAGCGTTGAAGGGTGCTGCAGCAATACATATATATGTATATCCTGGCGCCCCGATGTGGGCAGTAACAATTGCAAGTCAACGTGCAGCGTCTTCTGGCTGTGGTTTCGCTTCCCCCTTTGGGCCGACTGTCGGCTGCCAATTGCCTAGTGGTTGGGGACTTAATTAGCAAGTGCAGCCGGTGGCTCAGTGGTGCCTCTCAGTGGTGCCTTCTCGTGTTGGCTGCTGTGTCGCCGCCTTGTTTAGTCAAGTGATTTGTGTCTGCTATGGAGCAGCAGGGCAGGGCCGGGGAGCGGGGCTTGGTGTGTGTATGTAAGTGATTGCTTGTCTTTTTCTAATGAACAGTCCACCCCAACCCAGTCACGTAGTCTGTGAGCTGCAATTGTTGCTGCCCGCCCACTTTGACAACGCTCCGATAATCGCGCTAATTTCAAGATTTCCCAGCAGCTGCATAATATTTCTCGTGTTGATTTTTTCCAAACAATAAGCGCGCTTTGCGCAAATAGAACTGATTCGCGGTGGCACGTAGCTAAATCTTTGCTAGAGTCTCATCGCGAATGGGAACGAGGCCTGTCAAGCTGCGAGGAGCTCCCCGGAGGCGGCTGCCACGCGCACTTGAACAGCAACTGCGGCGGGCCTTCCCTACAATGGGCAGTCCACATAATAAGCGGAGGTGGGGTGGGAGTGGGTCCCAGCCACAAGAAGCCAACAGTACAAATTGTGACAGATTGTGTTTGTGTGTATGTGTGTGTGTGTGTGCTTGTGAGTGTTTGTGGGTGCCTTTGTTAAGGCTTGCAACAATATCTAGAAATGTGGCAGGGGCTTTGCGCTTTGTGGTCTATAGTTATTAGGCGTTTGGCAACAATGCAGTTGCCTACTTGTAGGCGTATGTGAAAAGCACAATATTTTGTGTGTACGTATGTGCGCGTGGGTGTGCGTGCGTGTGTGTGTGTGTGTTAATGCAATTAGCTTTGGGTTTTCCCTGTTGTTGATGTTGTTGCCGTTTCGCTTGAGGCAGGCTTTCAAATGCCGCATCAAGGGTTGCGGCTTGGTTGGGCTGGGCTATGCCGGGCTGGGCTTGGTTGGGTTTGTGGGGGCCAGGAAAAGGAAGTTTAGCTAACTGCCTGCCATAAGTGTGCACCACTTAATTTAGATAATACGCTGCTAAACACACACACTCGCACACTCGCACACACACAAAATGGCGTCAACGGATGTGCATTCGCTGCTCTAACTAATTAGTTTATATATTTTTCGTAGCCTATTTACAATTCATTATTTTGTATGCTGCATTTTTCGGGGCGTGGCATGGGCGTGGCCATAAGTGCGGCAGCTGCTGCTGCTTCTTCTGCCCATTTGCATGCATGCAAGCGTGCACACACTACTGACTGTTTGAGTGTGGCTCTTGTTTGTATGTGTGTGTGTGTGTCTGTGTGTCACCGTGTGTGTGCGTGTGTGTGTGTGTGTGTGTGTCAAGTCTGCTTCTTTGCTACTTCTTTGCTTTCTTCAGAAGTGCCATTCACTTATGTTATGAATAGAGAGTAAAGTACATTAATAAGCTCACACATACTCACCCACACATATGCAGACATCTCTACCTCATACATTAATGAAGTAATTGGCAACACTTTATATATATATATATATGTAAGCATCGTTATATATATACTGAAATATGTGTGTGTGTGTTTGTGTGTGTATGTTTTTTTATATACGTATCATGTGTGCTGTTGTTGTTGCTGTTCATTTCATGATATTTTCCTTTTTTTTTTATTATTTCAGCAAGATCTTTTCACGCGGCTGGCTGGCTGGCAGGGGCGGTTAAAGAGGGGCGGGGTAGTGGGGGAGTACTTTAGCTTCTCTAAGGACACTTAACCTCAAAAATGCTCGATGAGAAACACAAAAAACAAACAAAACCAAAAATAGGCAAAAGCAAACATAAAAAAAACACAGCGCATAGGTAGTCATGTCATATGTGTGTGGAGAGCGTGTGTGTGAGTTCCTTGCATATCCTTGAGCGCCTTTTAGCAGCTAAGCGGGGCAGGAAGGGGACTGCCATTATGCGCATCTCGCCAGGCGCGACTCTCAAGTAGCTGCCCCAAACAAAACCCAAAGAAAGGAGCTGCACTTGCGCCTAACTGGCAGTCAGAGTCAAACAAACTAATTAGCCTGGCACCCACTGTGTGTGTGTATGTGCTGGCAGGACATGCATGGTACTTTGGCTGCTTTCTTTTCAGTATTTGCATTTGCCATAAGAGCTGCGGCAGATAATGCAATTATATAAGTGCCATACAAATACAAAAGGCACTTGGGCTAATTAGCCAACACAAAGGACAAAGAGTGGCAAGAAATGGCTACACTCAACCCCAGCCATAGTCCCAGCCACAGACCCGGCCCCAGCTCGAGGCCCCCTCTATTTTTAATAAGCAGCGGCTACTGCCACATTCTTTCACACTTCAAATATGCGGCAAAGCACCATGGACCAGGACTCAATGTTGCAGGGCAGCGGCAGATACTTTGCATTTTCTTAAGTGGCCACAAGAAGCGGCATGCAACATGTTATTAAGCGTATAATGTTTGTGCGAGAGTGTGGCTAAAACTCATAATGTTCTGCTTTGATGAGTCCGTGTGGGTAAGTGCTAGTTTCCTTGACTTGCATGTTGAAAAATAAAAGAAAATACAACTGCAAATGCAACATAACCTCATGAGATACAAATGCAAAAAAAAGTTAAGTAATTGAAAATTAAGAAAAAGAAAACCGTTACGTGGCGATTTACCCTTCAGCATTAAGCGATGGGAACTTAAAAAGCAGAAAATAAAAATCAAATGCAATCAACAAAAATATTCCCACCCATTTTAACCTCAGCAGTCGAAAGTTGAAGTCGCAAGCGAGAAAAAGAAATAAAGAGATACGCCAAGAAATTCCCATGCAAAATCTGGTTTCATTCATAAGACAACCCCTTGGAGCAGCAACCCCTAAGAAACTACCCAAAAAAAAAATCAAACAAAAGGTGCAAAGCCGAGGGAAAAACCTCGCAAAGCCGGGCCCGTGCCGAGTTTTTGGTGCGCAGGTAAAGACTACGGCGAATTTCTTAAGACGTTGCGCATGTCTTGAGACAAATCAGGGCAGGGAGGGACGGGCAGGGTTAGGGGATAGTTGCTTAAGCACGAGCAGCCGAAGGGACAGCTGCTAAGTCAGTGAGCTATGTGCGTATGTGTGTGTGCCTGTGTGATTGTGTGTTTTGTGTTAGGGGCTGAAATCAAAATCCAGGTGAACTATTGTCCTGTCGCGTGGTTGGCTGCAGATGTGCCTCGCATTTGGCGCGAAAATCGAAGCACAGCTCTTCACTGCAAAATACTGCAGGACCCTCAGTTGTGCCGCACCGAGCTCTGAAGCCTTTGCCAGCTGTCGTTTCAGTTTTCTGACTTCTAATAAATATATATCTATTTATTTATTATTTCTACTTTTTGTTTTTGGCAACTTCTTGCGCCCCCAGACAACAACTGACGTGCAAATTTTGCAAATGCAAATGGGAAATACATTTTATTGAATACCATTGTGAATGGTATTATTCAGTCATGATAGAGTGAGACATTTACGATTGCATAAAGTACTGATAATTTCGATCAGTCGATTTGTGTTTCTATGCAAACTAGTCTCTCGGCTCTAAAGCTTTCGTCATGATATGCTCAGATTACTATATAATATGGCTGCCATACGAATATTATCGAACAAAAATGTAGCTCTGTTTCTGGACACAACATGAAATTAATGAGCAACACTCGGATTACTATATCATCTAGCTCTTAAAGAATATGTATAGAGTGCAAATATTTTCCGTTCGTAGGATATTCTAAACAAGGCTTCAATAGGCTCCTTACATACAAGGGTATTAACATTTTGGCTTGCCATAAATAGCCGTTCTTTCTCGTAGTTGTTTTTGGGGCGGGCTTCAATGGGGTTGGGAGCGCATTGCATGTGCTGGGACGTCAGTTGGTGCGATTTCTTGAGTGCAAGTCAAGGATTCGACAGTTGGCAATCGGATTGAATTGGAATTTCTGTTGAAAGTGCCTGACAGATATAGATAGTGTATATAGTATATATACACACACGATACTAAACGAAAACATCAATGAAATCATAAAAATGAATGCTGCTTGAAAAAAGTTACACATAATTTTAAGAGTGAGAGAGACAGATATCACAGATACTTATAGAGGTATTATTAATATATATAAAGAGATTAGTGTAGGTGGGCATGTGTGGAGGCGTGTGCAACTTACCGAAAATTCGAGAACCATTTCACCAATTGTGCTGTATTATTTTTGTTGAATTTTATATCCGGAAAGTACATCTTGAGCACCGCTGAGCTCGGGTAGCGCACCCAGAAGAACATCAGCTTGGCCTTGCGCAGGTGCATCGGTGTCAATGTAGAAGAGTGCAGAGGAGTCAAGGATTCGCAATGATTGCTAAATGTATATATATCGTATATAATATGGTATATGGTTATTATAGTCAATGCAGTTTCCACCCAAGGAAGTTTCCACGTTCGTGCCAAGTGTGTGGGTGGGAGCCAAAGAGCCAAAGAGCTGACGAAGGGGCATGTCTAACTTTGCTGTTGCACTTTCGAGTGTTGCAAAGGCAGCAATAAATGCCAATAATGAACATCTAAGGGCGTCGTGTAGTATAATGCTAGAGGAGAGCAGGAAGGAGAGTTGGGTGCTGTGGAAAGGGGCGCTGAGCTTGCCACTTGGCGTTGGCTGATTGAAAACACAAAACTGCGAGAACAGAGAAAACTGACAAGCAGCCAGTTGCAACGAAATTTGATTGCTCTACAAATTGAATAAGCTCGAAGCTAACTATTTGCTTGGCTTTAAACTGGAGAACTCCAAAACTCCAAAAGCTAGCTATTCTTTATATATAGATATTAAGATCCCTATTATAAAGAGGAAATTATATATGAAACTTAAACTTCGTGCCCAGACGTTTTGCCCACCGCGCTACGGACATGTCTTGAATTTATAACATAATCGTCATACCTCACACAGTAAAGAGTATATTGAGAATGAATGCAGGCTGTTGTTAGTGCGCTGCTTAGTGGGGTCCCCAAAGAGGTGGTGGGTTGCGGTGGCAGGCAACACTTGGAGCACATTGCAATTGGCTGTGCCGATTGGGCATTGATTTTTTTTTTTGCTAGTTGCTGTTGCTGCGATTGCAAATGCAACTCAAGCCAAGAGGCGGTCGAGACCGAGAGGATGATGACTTGAGGGTTCCTCGCTGAGGTCTGGATGTGGGGTTGGGTGGTCGTTGGATTGGTTAGCTGTTTGTTGCTGTGTCGTTTGGGGCGTTGCAATAAATAAGGTTTTGATTACATTTTATAAAAGAATTTAGTTTAAATGGGAAATAAATAAACTGAAGAAGACACTTGATTGGTTTCGTTTTGTAAGCAAGGCCCCTTTGATTGCGTTCAGGTAAATGTACTTAAGTCCGTCTCCCCAATGCAAGCCAATTGCTCTGCACCACTTGGCACTGTGTGGACTAGATGGGTTAAACTCACTTGACCATTGGCACTGAGTGCGCTCCGGATAGCTGCGATTGTTGTTGTTGTTGTTGTTTTAAAAAGGATATAGTAGGCTGCATGCCATCGAATGTCATGTCGGCCGAGTTACACTCGGACTGCCGATCCTGGGCGTCCATGACGGCTCGCAGGCAGGTCTTGTAGTCCGGTGAGCCGCCATGGTGGGCAGCTGCCAAAAGAGCGGGATGGAGCATCGTTGGCGGATGTGGCAGTGGCGGTGAGTCGCGCGAATCCATCAATGCGCCCAGGCTGCCTGGCGGACTCGATGAAAGCTGCATCTGATGGTGGTGCTGGTGGTGCAACTGTGCAGCTGTGGGCTGACCGCCATGTGGCGGACCGTGTGGACCCGGCGCCGCATGCGGATTGAAGAATGGACTATACGGCGAAAATACTTTAGATTCGTGCAGCGATGGATTTGGTATGGCCACTGAGGTGGGCAAAGACACTGGCATCATGGGTGGTGGTGGTGGTGGCGGTGGATGATATGTGCCTGCGGCCTGGCCGCGACCCGTTGGGCTCTGTGCGGGCGTTGCATTATTGTTGTTGTTGCTGCTACCATTGCTGCTCTGTTGCTGCTGCTGTTGTTGTTGCTGCTGCTGCTGCTGTTGTTGTTGTTGTTGTTGTTGTGCGGCAGCAACTGCTGCGGCAGCTGCCTGTCCACTAGGCGGCACAACGCCATCCTGAGCCAATATGCGGCTGACGGTACGCGGCGTGATGCGTGTATCGGTGACCTTATGTCGTTTCTTCTTGGGTGTCACCACCAGGCTCAAGGCCTCATTCTGCTCCAGCTGTTGTTGGGTCTGTTGGGCGCTCTGATGCTGTTGTTGCACGGCCTGTTGCTGTTGCTGCTGCGCGGCCTGTTGCTGCTGCTGCTGTTGTTGCTGTTGATCGGGCGGCAGGCAGAAGGGACTTGCCATCGAATTGTAGAGCGCAGCCGCAGCTACCGGGTTCATGCCCTGGGGCGTTTTGGGCGCCTGAAACATGGCCGCCGCTGTGGGCGAGGGACGTATGTGAGGTGGTGGTATATTAAGTGAACTTAAACTATTGTTAGTTGCATTCGTTTGGTTAACAGTATTGACCGCATTGCCGCCAGCAACAGCCGCCTCACCAGCCTGTTGCTGTTGTTGCTGTTGCTGCTGCTGCTGCTGCATGGCAGCCGCGGCGGCAGCATGATGCATTTGCAAGCCCATGGCTGCGGCAGCAGCGGCCGCGGGTGAGGCAAACGACAATTGATTGCCATTGAGACGGGGAGCAGCAATCAGCTGCTGGCAATTTGGCAATTGCTGCTGCGCAGCTGCCATGGCAGACATAACTTGCGATTGATTTAGGGCATGTTGCGGCTGTGGCGGCTGTTGTTGCTGCTGTTGCTGCTGTTGTTGCTGCTGTTGCTGTTGGTGCTGCTGTGCGGTCTGTTGTTGCTGCTGCTGCTGCTGCTGTGCAAGTTGATGCTGTTGTTGTTGCTGCTGCTGCTGCTGATTTGCATTGACAGCACTACTGCTGTTGCCCTGACCCTGACTCGCCTGCTGACTATTAGCTAATAGTATTGAACCATTATTACCTGATTGTGTTGCTGGCGTCGGACCGTTCTGGGCGCCCGGATGGCCGCTGTTGCCGCTGAGTCCGCGATCGGCGACGACTTTGGTGCGCGGCGATTTGCGATCGAGTATCTGGGAGGCCAGCATCAGATCCTTGTTGAGCTGCTCGGCGGCCGCCGTTACCGAATCCGCCTGTTTGCTGAACAGGCGACGCTGATGCACGAAACGTGTAACAATTGTGTCCACCAGAGCGGACAGCGATGTGGTTATTTCTGATTTCAGCACATCGGCGAGGCCCTCCAAATCGGTGCCGGACATGCGCATCATGGAGCTGTTATTATTGCTGTTGTTGTTGTTGCTGCTGCTGTTATTGCTGTTGCTGCTGCTGTTGTGCTGGCGCAGCATTTGAAACTTCTCGGATAGCTCGGACTTGAGCACACTATGTGCGGCAGCAGCAGCCGCTGCAGCAGCGCCGCCCATGCGTGTGGGCAGACGGGCGGGCGGATGCAACTGAACACGTGGCACTGCAGCAGCAACATGATGCTCCATCTGCTGCTGCTGTTGCTGCAACTGTTGCAAATGTTGCTGCTGACGATGCAGCTGCTGTTGTTGCTCTTCCTTGCGTCGCTGCTGCTCCTGCTCCTGCTCATAGCGACGCTGCTGTTCCTGTTGCTGTTGCTGCTGCTGCTGTTGTTGCTGCTGTTGCTGTTGCTGCTGCTGCTGTTGCTGCTGTTGCTCGGCAGCTTCTTTGGCCATGCGAGCCTCCTGCTCGAAAAAGAATTGCTGGTACATGGCAGCCGCATGCGACATATCGCCCATATGTTGCAGCAGTGGCGGAAAGCCCTGGGGCAGTGCTGGATGCGCCACGCCCACCAGCGGATTGTGCTGATGCTGCAGCTTGCTGGACATCATTTTGGACATCATCTGTGTGAGCATATTGGGCGTGGTGGCAGCAACATTGTCGCTGCTGCTCTTATTGCTGCTGCTGCTCTGTGGCTTCAATGTGGGCGAACTGGAGCCGGCACGTTCTGCTGATTCCTTGGGCGTCGATTCGCTGAGCGTGGGTGAGTGGGAGAGCTCGATGTCATCGTTTTGTTGCTGCAACGGCTCTGGCTCCTGCTCCTGCTCCTGCTCCTGTTCCTGTTCCTGTTCCTGCTCCATGCTGTCCATGTCCTGTTCGTGCTCGTTGTCCAGCTCCTGGCACTCGGACTCCTGCTCCATGCGCGTGCACAGCTGCACATATTTCTGTTGCATCTCGGCCAGCTGTTCCTGCATGGAGCGCAGCTGTGACTTCAGCGCATTCTTCTCCACGCGCTTTTGCTGTATCTGCGGCGATTCCAGCTCATTGGATTCGCTGTCCTCCTGGTCGAGCATCATGCTCTGCAGATTCAGGCCAAAATTGAGACCCGCCGCCGCGGCCACATATCGCTCCATGGCGTGCTGTTGGGGCTGATACAGCTTGCGCTTCTTGCAGCCATTCACCTGCAATTGGCCAGCTTGGGCCGTTGCGGAGGGACTGCAGCGCATGCTGGACACAATGTGTTCGACACGGGCACGCTTCAGCTCCATGCCGGGTTTTTTGAGGCAGTTGGAGCCGCTAGTGTTGGACTCACGTTTTGTCTCAATACAATCATCGTCGTCATCATCGTCGTCCTCGTCATCCTCGATGATGTCATCGTTGTCCAGCACCTCGTCCTTGCTGTTGTCCAGCAGCAACATGTCCGAGTGACTGGGCGATGCCAGCGATTCCAGATCAGAGTTGCGCGAATGCCCATGACCAGACAGGCCCAACAGTTCCACCTCGTCCAGCATATCATCCACGGCTTCCTTTTTTGTCGGCAGCACCTCATTCTGAAGCTGTGGCTCAACTGTTGTCGCGGGCGTGGCACGCTCCTCTCGCTGCATGCTGTCCAGTGAATCGGAGGATTTGCGTCTCAGGCTGCCATTGCTAGCGATGCTGTTGTTGCTGCTGTTGTGGCTGTGGCTGCTGCTGCTGTTGCTGCTGTGGCTGTGGCTGCTGCCGCCATGTGGGGAATGCGGCGCCTGTGTTGCTGATGCCATCAACTCAGGCTCACTTTTGATTTTAATCTCTGGCATTTCGCTGTCCTCAATCAAATTGATGCTCTCTGAGACGACGTTGTTGTTGTTATTGGTGGTAGTGTTGTTATTGAGCTTGGAGTGCAGCTCCTGTTGGTGCTTTTCATGATTTTGCTGCTGCTGTTGTTGCTGTTGCTGTTGCTGCATGGCCGTGCGCAGCTCCTGATCGAGCTGCATCAGCTCTTTCTTGCCCTGCAGTATATTGCGCAACATGTGATGCGCCACTAAATCATGCTGCAGTTGCTGCTGTTCGTTTGTGTTGCTGGCGCCACCATTCAACGAACTTACCGAAGCCGCACGCGGCGGTGAGCCACCGGCAGCATCTGTTGCTGCTGTTGTTGCTGCTGCTGCCAGATTACCATCCAGCGAGCGATCGCTACAGTTGGAGACACGCCGGCTGCTGCCACCTTTGGTAGTGGACGAGTGTGCCGATCCTGGCGATATAGAAGCATTGTTGTTGTTGTTGTTGTTGCCGTTGCTGAGCGGCGTATTATTGTTGTTGTTATTATTAACATTATTGAGCAATTTGCTGGTATTTAAACTGCTGACCAGCCCAGCAGCGCTCAGCAGATCGGCACTCGTGGCCGTTTCCATTGCCGCTGCCAACATGGCATTGTCGAGACTCTGTGGCAGCCCACTGGTGGCATCCTGGGCCTGCTTCATTTGTCGCCCGAACAGCTCGTTTAACATTTTCGCCGAGGAGCCGCCAAATAGATTGCCAAAGGCTGCGCTAAGCAGCGATGATGCCGAATTCACGGAGCCCGGCGAACTGGAGCCGGATAATGCAGTTGCTGTTGTTGCTGCTGCTGTTGTGGCAATTGTTGCTGCTGTTGGGCTTAGGTTTGAGCTGCTCGTGATGTTGCTGTTATTGTTATTGCTGTTGTTATTGTTGTTGTTGGTAATGTTGTTGTTAGTGTAGAGTGCACCACCAGCGGCACCCGCAGCAGCCGCAGCAGCGCTACTCATGAAGGCAGCGGTTGCCGTTGCGCCGCCGTTGCTGCAGCTGTTATTGTTAACACTATTGCAAACACTGTTACTATTCAAATTACTGTTACTGTTACTGATATTGTTACTGTCTTTGCTCAAGGATCGCGTGCGCGTGCGATGATTTCTCACTAAGTTCGAATTCGAGTTAATGTTGCTACTGTTACAATTGCTGGCAACTTTGCTAGATGTTGTCGCTGTAGTCAACGGTTTTTTAGCCGCGCACGTTGTTGTCTTGCCGACGGCCGTAGACTGACTGATTTGTCGTTTGAGTGCGTTACGGCGACTACTACGACTGCGACTGCGACTGCGACGGTTACTGTTGGTTGGTGCTGCCGCTGCTATAGCGGTCGCCTTGCTGTTGTTGCCTTCGATTACGACGACGTCGTCCGAGTCAGAGTCGCCCTCGTCGTTACCGTCGTCGTCCGAGTCGCTTGCTCTGCCTTTGCAATGCTTCTCCGCTTCGCTAACGTTTTCGCCGCAGTTCGCCGCGTCGTCGTTACCGTTTGTCTGTGTTGGTGTTGTGCGACCGATGCCGCTGCCGTTGCCGTTGCTTGCCTGCAGTGGCTGCGGCGTTGGTGGTGGTGGCAGCGCAATCGCTACGCTCTTTGCCTGCTGTGGGGGTTGCAGCTTACACTCAGCCTCTGTCTCCAATGTGGTTGCCGTTGCCTTTAGCAGAACATCGTTCTCATCGCTGTACAAACCAAAACAGTCCGCGTCGTACTCCTCTGATGACATCATAAGATGATGCCAAACAGCAGCAGCAGCGCGCGCTCGCCTCTCCACGTTGCCTCTCCGTTGCCTTTGCAGCGTTGCTCTCTTGCACTTTCGATTGCGCTCTCACAGCGTCAGCCACACACATGCAGGAGGCCACTTCTCCAGTTAGCTAATGAGAGAGCGTTTACTTCGCCTTGGCTTCGATTGGTTGTTGGCGATGTTGTCGGCGTTGTCGTAGCCGGCTTTCTCCTGCTCCTCTCCTTAACTTAGTATAGTAATTCGCCGCAGTAACGCTCAATCGGCGTATGCGTAATTTCAAGTTTAAGTCCGCTCGGTTGTCCGATCTGTAATCCTTTTCTTTATGATTTAGCTGGTTGTTTGTAGGTCCGAGTTGTCGTTGTCTGCCTGTGTTTGTGTGTGTGCGTGTACGTGTGTGCGTATTTGCTATGCTTCAAAACTTAGTAGCTAGCCCGAACTACTAATTCTTCTGGTTACTTATCCTTGTAACGGGCTTGCTCTCTCTCTTTCTCTCCCTCGTTTTCGCTGTCTTCGTTTAGTTGCGCCAAACGTTGAAATTTTGCTTTCGCTCAACTTGTTTGTCCAAATGGTACAATTCAAAATTGCTCGCAATGTTGTTGACAGTTTGTTGCAGTTGCAGTTGCAGTTGCTGTTGTTGCTGTTGCTGTTGATTTTGCGTCTACGTTTTCTACGTTTTTTTCTGCGTTTTCTAATTGTGAATTTTGTTTTGAATTTTCTTTCCACCACCACACACATGCGAATGTCCTTTGCATTTAATGTTATTTAAATTTGTGTTGATTTTATTTTCTCTTTTTGTTTTGGTCTTCGTTTAATTTTTTTTTTTTTGCTTTTCTTTATTTGGTTCGTCGTTAGATTTCGCTTTGATATATAATTCTCTAAAAGTGTTTTTCGGCTTCTTTTGTCGAGAACTTGCGTTGAAATTTGTTCGTTTTCGTATTTTTTTGTTTGTTTATTTTTTTTTTATTCGTTTTGTTTTTGTTTTGGCTTTATTTTTGTTGTTTTGTCTTGAATAATCCTTGCTTGCGCTCAAAAAGTGTTTCTGTGAATATAGAAGATGAAGTCACAAAACTTTGCTAAATAAAAATACCGAATTTTTTTACATAAACAAGCAATTTAATTGCGAAAAGCAGCAGAGGGCAACGGGTGGGTCACCAGAATGCTGGGCTGCGGGGTGGGAGGGTGTTAAATGGAAAGTAAAAGTGGCGCGCCAGAAGCTTTTGGTTTGGGTGGCCACTTGATTGGTTGGTGCTCGGTTACTGCTGGGGGTTGACTCTGTTCGCCTGACCTTTGCCTTTGCTCATCTGTCTGGGCGGGTGGGAAGTAGCTGGAAGCTGTGTGTGCGTGTGTTGGTAGTGTTGTGAGTGTTTGTATATGCGTGTGTATGTGAGCTGCTTGGTCCTTAATTCAGCTAAGGCCAACCCTTTGCCCGCTTTGCAATGCGACAGGTTTTTATCTAATTTCTCCACTTGAGCTTATTTAGCTGGCAACTTCTTTTTGTGTCTGTGCGCTACACCCCTTTCTCCTCATCCACCCAATTATCATATCTACCACATACGTGAACAATAAATATAGATAACGTGTGTTATATTTATGCTGATAAACAAGTTTGACTTACTTTCGGTATAGCCACAGATACTTTTATGTAGATACACAGATACTTTTGCATATGCCCAACGAAGCGAATGCGTAAGCACATCAAAATAATCAATAAGAGAACTTTGGAACTGGGAAACTTTGTGGCAGTACACAATGCGTCAAACTGGCACTGATTGAGGGGCGTTTCTAGTCTCGAATTTTGTATCTAAGAGTAGAAGTTTTCGATATCTACATGGTGAATAAATTAATCGCATATGCACAAGAGCTTAAGACTTCATTCTCATCTGTAGAGAGTAGTAAAAAGTACGAGATTTTTTATTCTGATTTGGCGAAAGCGGGAACAATTAAGTTGTTCATCTTCGACACATAATAAATTTTATATTTTTTAAGCTACGAGTTGTTTACTAAACTGCAATTAAAGGCTCAGGATTCTTGTGATCTTGTGAAATATATCTATTACTTTTTCGACAGATTTTTTAAATTTTTTAAAATTGGGAAAAACCTATACGTTTTTTTTAACTAACTGGGAGAAAAAGCGTTATATTATAATTTCTAATACATTTCTTTTTACAAATAAAATTTTGTACCCCCCTTCTAATGCTTACACATTATTTTTAACTTAATTTAAAAACTTAATTAGGATGACTATTTAAAATTAACATTTGCTACCTTTAGTAAATGGATTTACATCCTTGATACGTTTGTCAAGCTCTTCAAAAAAATAATTTTGCGATTCAGACTTTCCAACTGTCTGTTAACTGACAACTTATGGTTTAACTGTATATGGAGAAAGTAGGTTTTACTCATGGAACTGGTGGTTGTATGTATTTGTATAAATGCCATATGCAGTTTTCCAAGAACCGAATCCTCCCCTACGGGAGGCGCCGTTTTAAAGCATTGCCATGACAACAAAGTCGCATTTGCCATCTAATTGCATTGGAATGCAGTTCTCGAGGCGAGCAGAGCAACCAACCCGCCCGTTGCCCGTGGTCCGTTGCCCAAGTCAATGTCAACAAAAACTACGTCCCCACCCCTATGAGTGCTGTGCCCCTTGCCTGGGCCCGTGTCCTGGTTCTTCAAAGGGACTGTACTTGGCAAGCGTGCAGCTTGCAAGGCATCGGCAAGAGCCACCCCTATATGTAGGTATATATCAAGGATCTAACTTGGGCTTGGGATAGGAGCTGCAGAAATGCCGCTGCAGATCTCTAGACTAGAAATACGCGTCAATATATATATTTAAGCAGCATATTTACCACAAGCAAAGCGTTTTTATTTTTCTCCGTCGTTCATCATAGATCCTCCTGTAAGAAATGCAAAAATGAAATGAATATTGATTAACACAAAATACGCACCATTAAAAAAATATATAAAACTAAATATCCTATTTAAAGTTCAATGCACCTAGTGCAAATGCTGTCTTCAGTTGCTCAATTGATCTATGGGCGCACTACCAACCCTCAGAGCGCAACCCAAAAGTACCATATGGCCCCTTTCATAGTTTAGATAGTACACTAAGGATCAAAGTGAGTTGCTTTGCTACCAACTTTCCACCTACATACAACAGACAAACATCAAGCGACAGCAGCGCAGATAATTACGACCTTAACACACTTCTATAGACACCCTGCTGTAGAGTTTTTCAAAGGACTTGCCAGGCAAGACAGCAGAAAAAGTGCCTGTTTAAATTTCTTTTAGGGTCTTAGGGTTTTAAGGTTGAAGAATTTACGATACGATAAGGTTTAAATAAATGGAACAAAAGTGAAAAAGCTCGCAATGAAAATTTATAATTTCGAAATTTGAAATTTCCTTTATTATATTATAACAGTATCTAAAAATGATAGCCAAATAATTGATTTCTATTTATCATATCAATTTGATTATATGGATATTTAAAATGATTGACAATATATTAATACATTTTATATGAGTTGATCACTTTATAACTAAAGTTCAAATTGTTATGTTAATGTTATAGTATTCTTAATGTTATTAAAAATATTAATAATAGTAAAATTTATTTGCAGCATGCCCTTTAAAGAGTACCAGAAATGTCTGCTTCTATAAAATGTCGTTTTAAATTTAAGTTTTTGTTATTCTGTTCAAAGTTGGTCTCTATAATATGTTTACATACTTTGCATGTACGCACACACACACTGACATTTTTGATAGTGTGTGTGTGTGTGTCGTGCGCAGGGCGAATGTATCTCAAAGCGTGCTTTGGAATGTGCCTTCACAGATCGCGGCACACGGTAATGTAACCATCATATCTGCCTGCCGCCTGCTACCTACAAAATGTACAAAGTGTGGCACGGCCATGTGTTCTCCTTCCACTCCTCTCGTTGCTCATTTGCTTTTGTTGTTGTTGTTGTTGTTATTTTGGCCGGGTGTCATCATTAAAATATGCTTTGGCTCAAGTTGGGCCGGCTGGCTAACTGGCCGGCCGACTGGCTGGTTCGGCTAGCTGGCGACACTTGGACAGAAATGTGGACGCAATTGCGTTACGGTCAACTGACTTTAAAATCCGTTAAAAAAGTTTATGAAGCATTTGATGGGCCCAAAAATGATGACAGCAAATCGCCAAATTGATTCAAATATGGCTATTTGATATAGATTTTAATGAATTGTATAAGAACTTTAGCAACAAGATATAGTATATATAGTACGACAGCAGCTTATATTAGCTGTTGTAACTGCCAGAAATCACAGCAAAAATGTAGCATGGAGAGACAAGCGAGAGACAGAGAGTGAGAGAGAGAGTTAGAGTGAGTGAGAAGGCTGTGTTGTTCATTCAACCCCCAGGCGGCCCCTATATGTGTGCGAGGCACAGCCCAGTACAGCTGATGATTATGATGATGATCACAATCGTGATCGCATGACAGGCAACAAAAGCAACAACAACAAGTACGTGCCACAACTCGGCAGCCACGAGCCCAGTGCACACCTGGACATAAAGTGGGACTTCAACTCGGCTTCGACTCCGACTCCGACTCGACTCGAATCGGTCTCGACTCGGTCTATGCCTCAATGCGCCTGCCCACAAGCTGACGATGATCGAAGGAAGCAAGCAGCGTAGCAAGGCGAACCAGCGGCAACCCAGAAGGGGCGTTTTGGCTTCTGCCTGGTGGTGGTTGACATTTGAAAATATAGAGAGAACGCATGGGCTCCGATTTCGAAGCGTTACCTGAAAGAAATTCTCCAAATTCTCAAATACTGCTTGGGCTTTAGCGGAAGTTGCCGAAGGTTCCTAAAACACCTTTCAACTTGTTTGTGTGTAATTGCACAAGAGATGCCCGTTACCCCTGGCTCCCCACAGCAACTGCTAATCCTGCACATTAGCATTAGATTCGCAATGCTGGCAAAACTTTGCTGGCAGTTGTTTCCACTAGAACTGCCAAATGGCTGCAACAACTTTGTGGCACAATTCAAGCGAAAATTATGCTTAAAGAAAATGTCCTTTATGGTTCGGGCTTGTCGGCAAAGATTTTAATGTTTATGGGAAAAGTTTGTTCGCAAAATTGGGCAAAAGGTTGCAATAAAATGCAATTGTTTCGAGTTGGAGAGAATTGACTGGAGGTATCCGTATACAACTGGCTATTGCATCTGCTAATCAAGCTGTTTGTCTGAGCTATAATTTATATATTTTTTATTTGTATTTTGTCCTGGGCTTCTTGCCTTCCAGCCAAGCGCAGTGATATGCTGATAAGATATATTGAGATAGCGTTGACTACATGAAAATACTTTTATAGCCGCGATACCTATTTAGTCGCCATATGGCGGCTCTATAGATATCAATAACTTTCAGCAGCTCTCAAGTGGAGCAACGCCAATAGTCGTAGTCACTGTCACATCTAGCTGGCTACACTGGCAGAAAATGTGACACTCAAGTGAAACAATTAGATAATAGATGCATTAATAGCATGCTTGGCCGCCTGGAGATCAATGTTGGTTATTTTTTATATGAATAATAAAAAACAAATAATAAGGTTTGGCAAAAAAAGAGCTGCCTTTTCTTTGACCTATTTATTTATCATCTATCGTCAGGAGGCGCAAACGCCTTGCATGCTTTTCAACGCATAAACTTGTTGAGAATTGCAAGCGAACAAGCTAAGCGTTAATGCTATCGCTCAATTGTTATAAATATTTGGGATAGCTAGATGAACAATTTAATATAAAATTAGTTGAGAAAACTATAAAAGTGAAAAACCTAACAAATTGTAAAATAATGGTTTAAAATTTGGAATTTTGACTGAGGTTTTTCAATTTGTACGCTTATTTTGTTTGCCGTGTAGCCATTGCACTTAGCTAGCGCAAAGTTGCTAGCTATAGTTTTTATCCCCGCTCCCTCTCTTACCCCCCATTACCCCCCTTAACTCAGCATACGAGTATCAATATCTACGAGGTATTTCTAGCTGCTCTTGTGGTAGTTGTTGTCGTTGTTTTTGTTATTGTTTTAGACATGAGCACTTTTTGTGGTCGCTGTTTGTCGTGGCTGTGTGTTGTTGGGTTTTATTGTCTTTCAGTGCTTGATTAGATAGCTGCCACACACATGCACACATGCAGACATGCACACACGTAGAGCTGTGCCTGTAAAAATGGCCATATGTGGCCAAGTTGTTTGGCATTGTGCTTGTTTGCAAAGGGCCGCAAAGTCCGGCAGCGTCGACTTTGGCGCTGCTTCTTGCCTGAATGTTTTGTTGCATAGCGGCAGGCGCCGTAGCGAGGCTTTTGTCTATTACCTGATGTCCGACGCCGTGAATGTCCGTACTGTCTGTTTGTCCGGCCATCTATATATGACTGTCGGTTGGTTCGTGTCTGTTGCTTATCGCGCTTTTAATATCAAAAAAAAAAAAATAAAAATAAAAAAATGCACGCCTAACGCGTGAGTGTGTATGCATGTCTATATAGTCTCTTATGGTCCCATGCTACTCAGCTACGTTTAGTAGTTGCTACCTTTCGCGTTGCTATCTATGCAGATATCTTTCTCTGTCCGCCTGCCTAGGTATTGTACTACAGATACTATAAATATACATATAGATGTGTATGTTGTGGGTGTGTGAGTGTGTGGCATTAAAAACATTTTCATTGTAATCAAGCGTACTTTCTTTTATTATTATTATTTGCCTCTCTGTCTAATGCTAACGACGCAAATTACTCAAATGTATCTGCCAGATACTTTTTATTTTCTACTGTCGTGTGCAACCCGCTCGCTTGCTTTTTTCTGCTCATATATTATTTATTGATCGCGATAAGCGTCACGAAGCCAATTTCAAGCGCACACCAAATGATAGAGAAACACTCCAACTCCTCTACGTGCCCCACCCAACACACCTCGGTACAGCTAAGCTGATACCTGTGCCTTCCAGCTTTTGCTCATATTTCATATGACAAACTAGGTACAGTCACCGACTCACTGATTTATTTGTTCCTTTACATCCGCTTTGGTGCGTGGCAGCCAGTTGTCCCCGCCGCTTCCCTCAATTAACTCACAATCAAAGGTAGCCCTACCTTCCACGGCCTGGCCAGCTGCCAGATGCCGCTTCAGTGACTCAGTCACCCCACTCTGCCAGCGTCTTGAAGACGCTCTGGGAAAACAACTGTCAGCCGTTGCCTTCGCCACGTGCTGCATAAGCACGAAGCGTAAAGGAAAACCCAAGGCGAGGCGCACTCAATGGAACTGTAAGGCACACACCACCATAGTTCCAGCTCTGTAGGAACTTATCGCCACCTTTTGACTACTAATATGCCTTATGCTCGCTTTTGTAACGTATTTTTCTTGTTTGAATCCCCTTGCTGAGGCTATTACGAATCAATATACTTAAAATAAGCACAATATAAATAAAGATGGCTAATTTCGTAGTATTTTGACACCTGTAAACTCATGAACCTAGCATACTGTTTCTTAAACTTGGGTCTTACGATCGAATTTGGTTTAAGCTTCGGCTAATGGCATGCAAAAAATTGTGGGCTCGGCTTAAATCTGGTTTATAGTACCCCGAATACTTCCTTCTCTACCTATATCAGAGAATATAAAGAATTTTCATGTTGTTTTCGAACACAATACACCATTAGAAGGAAGAAAATGTTTAAATATAGAGCCACATTGTGAAATGGTATTTAATTGTATATGACAGAAAGTAGGCAGCATTTGAGATAAATAAATTGTGAGCATTGGCTACTAATGGAAAACAAAAAAAAAAAATGTCACAACAAAATGAATTTGCTAATAGGCTGATAAAAAACAATTGAGGACAAAAGTTTATTTGATAAAGTAATTGGAGGAAATACCTGACACCATTTGGCT